ACACAACTTAAAAGAAAATAGTTTAAGAGTATCACAGGAGACAATGTGTAAGCAGAAATTCTTCTAAATAAACAAATCACCACACAGTTCTGAGAGAAAACCTGAAGGAAGTTACTACATTCTTTCCATTCAACAGTAACGAAGCAACACTGAAACCAACCCAACCCCTGTAAAAAAGAACAATAGAAAGTTAATAACCATACAAATCTTCTGGGGCTGCAGCCAACAACATTTTGTTTCACACACATGATGAGCTCTCGGTCTCTTCTGCTCTTCCCAATATTTCACCAAACTGGCACACAAAGGTGGCTGTAGTTTCAAGCAGGTCTTTAACTGTATTAAAACTTCAAGCTTACAAAGCAACTCAAAATCACGTATTAGAAAATGCAAATGAGTTTTAAGGAGCAATTTCCAGAAAGCAAAATGTGTAGCAAACATCAAACCAGCAAGTTCTTTACTATTACCCCTGCTTTGTTTTATCTTCTTATATGTTAACAGACACGCAAATATTAGCACATAAACTGTTTTGCATGCTTACTCTCAACTATTGCTAGCAGAAAAGATAAGGGGACCTTACCTTTTATATGTATTTAAAACCCAAGTTAGAAGGCTAACAATCTCATTTGCTTCCAGATCCTCTGCAGCAAGCTCTTGCATGCGGGTGGACAAAGCTTGATGGTACATGTTCAGCAATTTGTTGAAAATGTCATAATGTGGAGGAAAACACTGATCTAGTAGGGTTTTAGCCACGAGCAGGTCATCAACAACATATTTACGTATGATTTCTAGATGGCGCACAAGCCACATTTTGTCAGATTCTCTAGTATCTGCCTGAGTGCCTTCAATTCGTGTGCTCACAGTTCTTTCCAAAATGTTGAACATTTTTTCTTTCCACTTCTTTGGTCTGCCAGGAGGTATGAACCCAGTTTGTTTTTTCCGGTCCAACATGCGCCTGTCAATTTTCTCCTCCCTCTCAATTATCCTAACAACAGAAACCAGCAAGGTTGGATCTCGACGGACTGTAACGAGAGATCTTTGAACCACCATCCAAAGTTGCTTTGCCAACTCCTCAGAAAGTTTCTGCATATCCCCAAAGTATGTATGGATGAGGTTCATGTCATGTGTGTTTTTGCTGTCCATGCGATACTGCTCATACATCAGGTTATCACGAGAACACTCTAAATCCATCAGTTTTCGATGAGCTTGCAGAAGTTCCCCTCGCTCAATCAGATCTTGGGTCTCCCTGACTATCTCTGGAACTGAAAGAAAGGCAAAGAAGAAGAAAAACCAAAAGGAGTAAAACACCAAAATCACAATAAGAATAAATACAAGACAATAAAAGCACTAGGAAACAAGCTGGAGAACAGCTGTAGCAATTCTTTTGAAATTATTTAAAGGAAATTATTTTGAAGTGTTCAAAAATTGTTAATAAATGCTATATATCTTTATGCATTCTACATATGCTGTAACTATAATGCTCCATTTTGATCAGTGGCTAAACAAAGATCATAGTGCCAACAGAACATAATTTATTTTCTCTCCTCCTCCCCCTTAAAAAAAAATCCATGAAAGTCTACTATGAAACAAATTGCACTACTGGCTTTCTTGTATCCTATACAAAGGGCTTTTAACTTGGCATGACTAAAAGTCACTTACCCTGTTGAACCTGACACTGCATATACCCAAAAAATACTGAATTTTACCTCCTTCTTGAAGGAAGAGTTTTTGCCTGCCTAAGGCCCAAAGGAAGAGTAGGGATAATTACCTATGCTGCTAAACTGTTTAGAAGATTTTTCTTCTTTACTAATTTTCAGTATTTGAGGAATACCATAGAAGAAGATTAGGATCCTGTGGAGGAAAGAACTGAAAAATCTCCGCAGAAAAATTGTCACTGCAAAAAAGGCAGCTAGTGGTAAAACTTGCAGCCCCAAAAAAGGTTTGAAAAGACAGTTATACACAATCATTAATCATGACAAAAACCACTTGGTGTATAGAACATTTGTTTTGCTCAGATCAAAGTTATCATACTGTTTAACAATCCTGGAGAGACGCTTCACACTAAGAACCTCTCACAACACCAGAAAAGAGGCTTATTGTCTCAATTGCATTCATCAGTGTAAAAGAAAACAACATACCCCAAATAACTCAGCATTGGAATATACAGAATTTTGTTGTTCTCAAGTTTTTATTGCTAGACATTGCATGTGAACACTACTCTTTTTCTTAAGTTGCACACCGTATCTCACTTGGTACTGTAGCAGTTAGGTACACTCTTACAGAGATTAAACAAATCAACCTGGTATGACTGGGAAACATTTTTTCTTTATAGGTACATTTTGTGAATTACTATCAGTAGAGAAGAGGAGAGAAAAGCCTATTTTAATAAAATCAAAGGGGTATGATAGGCTTAGCCCCCATTATAGGGGTAAAATTCTTAAAATTACTTATAAGCAGGAAGTCCTGGCAAGGAATTCACCCTGATTCAAGATGGAATGGAATGTGCACCAAAAAGGCTGCATAAAAGGACAGAGGTAATCCCATTTGCTTGATCTTTACAATATCCATTATATCACATTAATCTTAATTTTGCAAACCTTTGCAGTTGTGCAGCAGTGCAAGAAAGAAGCATCTCCCATGCACAATTTCTTTATGCACGAGTTGGTTTCTGTGATTGTGCTGCCTGCTTCTGAAGCAAGGACTGTGCACAGTTGAAACTGAACTTCAGGTAGCTTATACTTACACTTGTAACATTAATGTAAATCCTTGAGACTCCTAATTGTTGTGTGAGAAAGATTGCCAAGGGATCTTTGACTGGAGATCTCGCTGTTTCATATTTTGCCTTTGTTTGAAAAAAAACCTTTCAGTTCCAAAAATCATTTGGGACTATTTTTACCCAACAGGCTTGCTGTAGGTGCCCAACTAGCTGGCAACATTCCAGATCTTTCCAAGTTTTCTTTCTGTACATGTTGCTTGCTTATTTCAGTCTTTTATACTAAATATGTTATCCCTGCTACTGATTGCTAGCAAGAAGCTTCTTTGTGACTTGTGTTTGATGATGAGATAGGCTAGACTAGAAGTTCTTACAGCACAATTTAGACTCAATATGTATTAAATGGTTACCAGCTACTTCTCTGAATGTGAGGTGTAGGTGATTCTTCCTTAATTCTTCATTCCCAGTGAGGTTTACTTGACAACCTTACAGCTGTTAGTACCATTTTAAAGTACTTTCAGTATGTGACAGATGATGTAAAGAACATTAGATTACCTGAAAAGATGTTCTTGAGATTTTCTACAGCAGCTGCCAGTTGGCTATGTTGCACTACAGCATCCTTAACATCCTTGAGGTTTTCTATGGTGTTGATGCTCTGTCTCCAGTCCTTATTGACATCTATCAAAGACTGCTGAATATCCTTTACATCATTCAGTGCATTGTGCAGTTGACTTAAACCTGTTCGTACTCCATCTAACTGCGACTGGATTGCTGCCTTAAATACAAACAAAAAGACAAAGAACAAACTTGTGTTAATCATTTTAAGTTCTGTATTGTCAACATTTCTCAATAATTCATTTTCATTTCGGCATCTAACATTTTCAGAGGAAAAAAAATGGAAAAGGTAATATTATAGCTTACTAGAAATGTGTAACTTACTCTGTGTGCGTGCACATACTCTTTTTTTGAAGTTCTGAAGTTGTACCTAGTTTTAAAGGACCTAGATACAACTGGTTCACCCACATAGCTAACACAGGAGTTTAGGCAGATAGATTGTCACCTTTATAAATCTACATTAAACCAGGATCATGGGAAGGCAGAATGAGATTTCTTTGTGCTTCCTTCTGAAATTAATTTCAAAGGGGGATTTCAGAAGAAAACTGATCCAGATGTTTCAACAGAATGCTTGGTATGCACAGATTCACAAAGCCTTTTACTAAAGCAATTACAAATTTTGACTGGCAACTGAAAATGTTCTAAAAAAAAAAGTTAAATTCTGAAATGTTCTAATAAAAACCCCCTCTGGCCTGTCATACCCCAAAGCAAAAAAACCCCAAAGAAATTCAGTCAAAACAAAAACCAACAAATCCCCAAACTGAGTAAAATTTCAACACTGTGAAACATCAACCACCAGACCAACAATCCAACTACTAGATTTTGTCATAAAGAGAGGTTATTGATACAGATATCTCTTGTGACAGGTGACATTTGAAATAATGACTCTTCAAATAGGCTATTGGTTCTGAATATCATTTGACAGTCCAGACACCTTACAGAAAATGCATTATAGTGTGTATCTGAGTGAAAGAAATCAGATCACATCCACAGCATGTTTTCTATATATGTGTTTTTAAAAAGATGTAACTAAGGTGAAATCAGGTGAGTGGAAAATGAAACTGGAAATAACAGAGTTCAAAAGACAACCCAAAGGCATCAGTGAAAACTCAGTTGCATATCTCAAGGACTTGAAGCAACCAGTAAAGAAATGAGGCACTACTGGTTTTGCTAAGTTCAAAACACATTTTTTGCCATACTTTTACGGCCAAAAAGCTTGGGCAGTCACGGAACTTTTTGTCTGATACTAGAAGCCAAGGAGGAAATCCTGGTAACTATGAAAAACATTTATTGTGTTTTAAGTGTACTGGGAAAGTCCCAGAAAAATGCAGTGATTCTTAAACTACTGCTATTTATGTACTTTCAAATTATGACATGCTGATTTTATTGATAAAATTGTATTTTCCCGTCAGACTCAGTGCAATTAAGCAGTGGTAAGGCATTTTTATACAATGTCTATCTACAGAACTGCTGCATTAACACATTTTTCCCCCTACAGGAACTGAGGTAATTAGGATCCTCAAACATTCAATATGATACTTAAACACAATCTTCTGAAGTTGACCATAAAGTATTTTAAAAAAATCACATGACTGTTAAATGTTCAATACTTCTGATCTGCTATTTCAATTTCTTCTGAGGCAGATCTTCCAAGTATTACATATTTAAATTTTTGCCTATTTAACTTTTGCAGACACTTGATTATGCTAAACAGAAACAATCACTAATCTTGGTCACTGACACAAACAAAACCAAGAAAAATTCTAAAAATAGACAGTCACCCATGTTCAGTTTGTCTTCTAAAAGTCAGCTGGGGCCAGGGGAGGGTGTGTGTGGGGGGGCAGCGAGCGAGGCATGTCCTAGTATTGTGGACTTCGCTTCCTTAGAATCATCTTCATCTTAGACTGGCCTGACCATTGCTGTATTAAAAAAATGAAAACAAAACCAAGCCATCCTAGTAACAGGGCTCAAAACTTCATTTTTATCTCTTTTCAAGTGACAGCCCTCAACATGAAGCCACGGAACCAGGATCCTGGCTGCCTGGTCTCCCTAGAGCCCTACGGTTCAAATTACTGATTGCACAGCAGCTAAGAATCAAAAGGTAGAGGATTCAAGCATGTTTATACTCAGGAAAACCCATGACCTAGGAACCTAAGATTCATATACAGTATTTCTTCAGGGTGAAAGAAAACCAAAACCTAAGCTCTCCCATTGACTAAGTGCACAAAGACGGCTGTCAATGCTCATAACTTTTCAGGCCCTGGAATAGAGTCCAAGCAGCTCTTTGCCCAGAAGTACCAGCCTACACTGCAAGCTGGTGCTTATCCACCCATCATTTCAGAGTTCTGCTGTCAATCCTTAAAAATACTGCTTCACTAACTGTCATCGGTCTCACACACACGAAGCAGATGAGTTTGACAGATTTCAAAGCAGTTTTTCCTCTAAGAATTTATATAATCCAGGAAAAAATGAAGAGAAGGATGTAAGAAATGGACATAACTAAAAATTTGGGAGATGATATAGAGGAGCAGGATAACCATCTGGAGGAGATACTGGTTTTTTGGGGCAGAACACCATTCCAGACCTCTGCTGCTTCATCCCTGTAAGTGACATACGACTATTACCCTGGTTTTCTACCCTTCACCCTTGATTGACTTGATTATCTTGAATCATCTGAAGAAGATCATGACAAAGATGAAAGTGCATCCACTCAGAAAGAAGCACCAACAGGTTCACACTAAAAGATTTACCATGTGTTCATTCACACAGATGAAGCAGCTGAGGTTTTTCAATAGTAATCCAACCTGAAAAGTCACCAACTCCTCCAGCTGATGATCCTATCTTTCCATCTTCCACACCATACATATACACAGTTTAAAGACAGAGCAAGGGTATTTCTTACATCCTTTCTGTGCTCCCATCCATTATAGTAATTCTTATGGGAAAAACTGCTCTGCTATCCATTGCATCACTATCACCTGTTTCAGGAATGCATCCTGAATGCATTAAGGGGTATTGTACTTCCTTTTGGAACAGGTATTTCTGACCACCTACAGATGACTGCAGTTAAGTTAACTTAAGGAAAATGACAAGGAAACTAGCTATAAAGTGGATTTAGGCATTGACAAAACTTACAAAGTTATGTTTAGTCATCACTGTCTATAGAAGCAGCCAGTAGGCAAATGACTATGCTCTTATATTATAAATAGGTCACAGTAACTAAACAGCCAATCCATTATTAATAGACTCCACTATATGCTTCCTGCCTTAAACCTGAAAAACCCAGTCGAAGTCATCAGGAAAATTTCCTTTCTATGCTACAGACAAAAATTAATATATAATTTGCTAACAGATTTTTTTTCACTGTGAAAGAAGACAGGCTCTTTTCTGCTTCATGCAGACTCCCACAAAGAAGGAGCCATCAAATAGTTGTAAGATAAACTAACTTGTTCTGAAATATTAAGATTAGATCCAGTGTATACCAGCCATTTTGATCTGCTAAACCCAAAAATATTTCCCAACACACTTTTCTAAGGCTCTACTCCAATTATGTAATATAGTAGTCTAAAATGACTGTTGGCTAGTGAGTACCAGTGAAGGAAGAAAACACAGAAGTCAGTAACATACAGACACTAAACATAGGATGACCTTAGTCATATTTCAGGCTAAGTCTGTGTGTGTGCATATGCATGTGTGCACTCACATGTACATATGCGGACAGGGAAAATCATGGCGTACTTCTGCAAGAGACAAGAATGTGATAGATTTTAGCTGTGTTCCATAAACCCATGTAAAAGTCAGAGACTAAACTAACTGATCTTTTTCAGATGCAATCATCGATTTTTTGTTACAAGATAGGTATTCAATCATTAAGACAAAGGTTTGTTGGCTGACAGGCTACGCAGCATGAGGGTAGCTGTCCATGGATAAACTGCAGAAGTTACAGGATGTAAGAACACTTGAAATGTTTGAATAAAATTTCAGTAAGATGTACAGCATTAGTTTGCATTATTTTCAGGATGCAAAGCTTCTGTTTTGGACACAGAGGAAAAAATAAAGTCCATGGTTTAAAACGATCTGGATGAAAATGCAGAATCAAAAAAAAGAAGGTACATTCATGCTGCACCACGGACACTCAGCTTTATCAAACTTTGTACCTTGAGTCGAGCTTCTACTGAGGCCTTCTTACGAGCTTCCCTCCTGCGATACTGCTCCACTTTATCCAGCTGATCAATCCCTGCTACTCTCTGAACAGCTGTTGCAACTGCTTCCCTATCCGTTTCCTCCATTGCTGATTAGGACCTCAAAATGCCTTCATAATTTAACAGTACTGAAAAGAAATACAACATTTTTAGAAAATATTTTTTCATTTGATGGCTATCATTTCAGAGTTAACTTTGGCAATAAAAACGGTGCAACTTGACAGAAGCATCATTAGATTGCATTACAAAGAGCAGTAATCGGAATTCTACAAGAATCACGTCTCAAGTCTCTTAACTGTTTCATTAGTTTACCTGAAATGTTCTCTAGTTATTGTTCTTGCATTTACCTTGCTCTCTGTAAGTTTGTATCAAAAGAAAAGACAACAACAACAGAACAGCAAATTTTCATTTTAAAAAAAACAGATTCTACCTAATCCTAGAGTAGGTTTGCCTATTAAAAGGCAAATGAGACAAGCATAAAGGAATCTTGTAGCAAGTCCAAGCAAAAATCCTAACTCTTCCTTAATTAGAATCTGGTGGAGCTGAGAGAACCATAGCCCCCCTGCAGCGATAGGTCAAATTTGCTACCAAAAGTGGAGAGAAACATAGCTGTGGAAGCTCTAAACCCAGAGACTTAACTATAAAGCACTTCCATTTAGACTTCTGATGGATGACTTTTTTTATTTCCTACTCTTGTTTTCAGTTCTTCTCACGGTATCAGTCCATCAGAGGTGTAGGTATGCAGGGAAAAATTAACCAAGTATTTCACCTAAGTCTCCAGCAGAATTTCTAGTGAAGTCAAGACATGAATGCAAACTAGTATGCAGAAAAGGTAAAATTATCTGGCCATCAAACCAGAGCTGTTCTTTCAAGCTTCGCTAGCTACTAACAGAAAGCAGGGAGGGTCCCAGTCACCAAAGATACAAGAACTTGGTGTCCACAAAACTCCAAGGAACACATCTGGGAGTTCCTCATTCCTTCCAAATTCTTTCCAACATTTTATGTCTTCAGTCTTTTAATCAAACAGAACATTTTAGGTTCTGCTGCCACAACTACAGATTATACTCTCTTGTATCCATATTATTCCTTGAAATTAGATAACTACTTTCAAAGCAGCCTGCATTCCATATATCCAGCACATCACTTAATCTCAACAGAATAGTGATCTGACGAAGAATTGTGCCAAGTGCACAGAACTGGAAGACCAAAAGCAAGAAAACTCATGCGTCGAGAGAAAGGCAGTTTGATAGGTGAAGGAAAGTGAAAACACCCGCCACAACCCAACCAAAAAAAACAAAAAACAAGTGAAGCAAAGGAAATTGCTCACCACCTCCCACAGGCAAACTAATGCTCCAGCCAGTCTCTGAACAACAGCCAACCTGGAAACCAAACCCCCCCCCTTCTTCTTCCGCTACCCCATCTTCTATTGCTAAGCATGACATTATATGGTAGGGGATTTCCCTTCGGCCAGTTTGGGTCAGCTGTCCCATCTGTGTTCCCTCTCAATCTCTTGCCCATCCCCAGCCTACTCAAGGGGAGTGGAGGGCAGAGTAGGAAAAAGAGAAAGCCTTGACACTGTGCAAGCACCCTTCAGCAACAGCTGAAACACTGGTGGGTTATCAGCACTGTTTTAGCCACAAATCCAAAACACAGCATCATACACGCTGCTATGAAGAAAGTTAACTCCATCCCAGACAGACTCAGTACAGCGTTAGCTGAATTAGTCATTTTAGAACTTATCAGGGTTAAAAAAGATTCCAGGCAAGGTTTGCCCAAAAGCTAGTCTGTAAGACCCTAAGTCTATGTCTCAAGTTCCTTCTTCCAATATCTCAAGATCTGTACTTCTAGTATCTTACTATTACAGGCATAAGTATGCACTTATTCCAGAATTATTTCTACAGTGTAAACTCATGTCCTGCTTTACCTCCTCAGCTGTGCAACCATACCCATCACTTCTCTACTAACGGCCTGTTTACCTCAAATGATGTTTGATTTCCTACTCTACAACTCAAGGTGCAGGCTCTATTCCTACCACTCACACTTTCGAATGAATACTCCAGTTTTGTTTAGCCCAATCCATTTCCAAGTTGTCAGGACTGTATCTACAATTTTAAAAAAAATTATTACTTTTAAATAATGAATTTACTACAGAAATGGTATCTGCAGTAGACAGCTTCATGCTGAATTACCGCTTTTATTAACAACTCTGGATACATTCAATAGAGCTACGATAGCTTTAACCCACACAGCCACTACCCAGGCACATTAAGTAGACCTCATGAACAAAATTAGTAGTCAGTATACTGTAATCTCCTAACTGATTACATACTAACTTGCTGAGGTAGACAGGTTGTTGCACAAAGACTAACCATTCAAAAGGAAGAGCAAACTTTAAGAAACCATGCCAACTTTACACACAGGCTGCTAGCCAAAAACCACAAACATCTTCAGAGCAACGCACTGGAAGAAGCGAACAAAAGACAGTCCTGAGCAGCCTTGGAGAGGCTTCAGCTGCAAGCACACCCTCATCCTCCGGACTCAAGCTCCGGCCGGGAGCTGAGAAGCGAGCCAGCGGGGACGACAGGCTCACAGGGGGAGGCCCCCGCCCCCTCCAAAAACGAGTTTCCAGGCTAGAGGCGCGCAGCGACACCCAGGTTTGGGCACAACCCC